AGAATCTTTGGATTCACACCTCAGTAGAATTACGTAATCGAATTCCGACTTATTGCGCCTTGTTGACTTACTGTGATATGGAATACGGTAATTGTCCTTATGTGGCAACCAACAGCAAGCCGGGCGAGAAGAAAATATGCACACGCCTACGAGTTGGCTTTGCTTTGGAGGCCTCTATTGAGGCCGTCCAAGACTACCTTCACACTGGACTCCGTCAATTGGGTAGAGGCGCTGGGTGCTACACTTCTCCTTTGCAGTATGGCAAAATTGTGAAGTTTGGATCATGCTCTTTCATTCCTGCAGAAGTCAATTTCTCAGCTTATGCAAAGGAGCTGATGAGACTCTTTGATTTCGACGTCCCAATTGGAATAAAGAGGGATTGGGTTTCAAGAAGAGCAAAGTACAACGAACGGTCTCCTGGAGTGACCAGTCCACATTGTTTCACTCAGAAGATTCATGCAAGGGAGTTGATCGTACTTTGAGGACGATTCTCCATCCAGCAACTGCAAAACCTGACTTTCCATTTGTCGCACCGGCCACCTACATCAGTGATTGGAAGTTGGCGCAAGAACAAGGATTGCTGAGTGTCAAAACCTACGGTCCGGTGAAGGATGCGATCCTGACCTTGATCAGTAAGCTATGAGATTACTACATTTTGACGGAGGTTCTTTATCCGGGCATCGATTTCACCGGAATGTTCAAGTTTGCTACTACATGGTTGTACAGTTCCTACACCCTGTTCAAACTGCTTTTGTCCATCAAGGCTACGCCGGCCCAGGCTGATCAAGCTTCCACAGCCGCCAAAGACAAACCCTCTACAGCAACGGCAACTGACGACGACTCCTCAGAGGAGGAGGATGATGAACCCCAGGAGGGAGCGGGTTCTCAATCCGGAGCATTTAAGAAGGTGACAAAGAAGAAGGTGAAGAAGAAGAAGAAGAAGAAGTCGCCCCTTTCCAATAATCTAGAAAATCATTTTCTCAAAGATCTGTCCCCGGCACAACGCAAACTGGCTGAAGCTGCAGAACAATATTGATCGCCATAAAGCAGGTCCACACTTCTTGATGATCCTTCCAGGAGAAATGGACGGCTCTTATATCTTCGTCTGCCGCAAGAAATAAGGTCAGTTGGCCCGAAACGTGTTGAAAGGGATAGTTCGGTTCTTGATTCATCACCTGTACGAACTTACCAACACTCAAGCTGATTGCGTCTTGGGTAAATGGATTCCCAAATCAGAAATCCAGGCGACGCGATGTAAGTGTTTGGTCTGGTGCACCAACACACTAGTACGCGCTATTGAGGCCTCCGATCAGTCAACCACGGTGGAAGAAGCTCTGGAGTTTTTGGACAATGTGATCAAGGATACCACCAACAATTATCAAGGTCAACTCTCGATCGACATGGATATTGCGAACGCCAAGGATACCAAGGATGGACAAACCGTCACGGGGATGCTTGATGAAATGCATGAACGGGAACAGCAACTGGAGGATGCCTTTGTGGAGATTGAAGCTTGCGACAACGCCTTGGCGGCTAAAGATCAAGCCCTGGCCCAACAGAAGGCCGCGACTGCGGCTCTCCAAGCCCAGCTTGAAGCCCTTCAACGTCAAACAGCTCACCACTTGGCAATGGTCTTGCAACCACCTGCTCAAAACAACGAGGTTTCCCCAGATTGGTCCGAATTTACCACGCTGCCAAAAAAGAGGAAAAGCAAGGATACTTCCACGGTTAAGAAGAGAGTTGACAGTTCTACGGCTGGTCTTAAGCAGCTCACTAAGTCAACTCGCCCAAGCACGTCCGTTCACTTTCAGCAGCCGAAGCAGCGTTCTCGGAAGCCAACCCCACATTCTCAGATTCATGTGGATACAACTCAGATGGAGGGCAATACTACTATAGCCGTGTCCCAGGATGAGAGCCTCTCATCTATGACAGCGGGGGCTTTCCAAAATTGTTTGGAGTGTTGATGACAAGGTTCGAGTGTTTGGGAAATCAAATTCGAGTGTCACATCTCTAATTCGAGTGTTTAGAGAAAATTCGAGTTTAGAAAAAATGGAAAAATTCGAGTGTTTGAAATTCGAGTTTTTAGGATGTGTTTGACTTCGATGCAGCTGAAAAAATTGACGCATCACCCTAGTTTAACCGCGTAAAAAGACAAGTTCGGAAATAGTGAAGCGGTGGGTCCAGTACCGCGTATATTCTCCCTACAATCTTATTACGGGGTCACTCGAGGGGAATTTTCGATTTTGACTCATCTCCCAGACCACCACACGACTCACTCACTCAGCTGGCGCACCGATGCGAGCAAGAGCGTCCAGGCTGGCCAACAGGCATTTTATTGATACAGTAGCATTGCTTTCGGTGCTCTGCTGCTTTGTATTCATTGCCATGGTTCTCGTTACTCCTTCTCCTGATGGGGGAGAAATGAGTGCAGATGGAACCAAGAAAAAAAAACTCACGAATTTTGAGAAAAGTGATGGTCGTCGCCTCGTAGAGTATTTGGTTGTCATATCGTCAGTTCCGCGTGCTTTCGACGGAGCGGGGGATATGGCCAAAGAAGAATGGGATCTATCGACAAGTTTCGACGATGAGGACGTTGAAGTGACTCGTGGGTTTAGACCGCAGATTACCGCTCGATATCCTTTGGAAGATCATAATGATAATCCTCTGCATGAAAACGTGACCTTCTTCTGTCACCCATCTGGTTCCATACACTTGAAGAAAGAGAATCACATGCCCAAGGTACAGTTTTTTTACAGTCCCGATCAATTTGTGGATTCAGAAATACTAAAGATTTTATTATTCGTAGATTCATTATTTCGCTGCAACTGGTGGAACAGGTCGAAAGATGTATGGAACTTGCCTAACATTGTGGGAGCCCTATAAAGTCACTGGTCGGAAGAAAAACTTGGGAAATGAGGATGCACACGAGAACAGTGATCACGATGCTTTCCTGCCGAAGTGTATTGTGCTACTATCGACTTACCCATACCTCATGGCTTTTCGTGAATACCTTACGCAGTTGAATCGGCTATCGAAGCTTGGAGAAATGACATACCCCTTGGAACGAGCGATTGTGAACATTTGTGCCGAAATCCCGGCCCCTCCACCTGGTTCATTCGAAGTACAGACAACAATTCTGGATTCAATCATCAGGATATGGTCACCTCCGCACAATCAACCCATAGCTTGGGTCAGCCTTCCTTTCTCCCATTTGTTTGAGTGCCTCGATATTGACAACATTGTCTTGGTCTGGCATTGCTTAGTCCTGGAACGCCAAGTCCTACTGACATCAACGCAATTGTCAATATTGACTACATGTTCTGAAATACTACTTTCGCTTCTCTTCCCTATGCGGTGGTCCCATGCCTATATTCCTGTGTTACCGCATTTTCTCATTCCAATGCTATCAGCACCGATGCCTTTTTTGTGTGGCATCAATAAAGCCTGCTTGGCTGAGGCACTCTACGATTTAAGCCGCGAGTGCGTTGTCGTCGATCTAGACAAGAACCTTGTGACGCTTGGACCAGACACAGATCCATTACCGCCTCTTCCACCACATCAGGATGCTTCATTGCGAGCGCAGTTGCACGACAACGCTGGTATGGTCTTTCGAGAGGCACGTTCCTTGACAAAGAATCATGATTATTCCGAAAGTGGTTCTCATCTACCACCACATATCAAACAGACGGCAGAGGCGATGTGGGAAGGCAAGCTGTGTCTTTTCGACGAGGCATTCCACCTAATGTTCACACCCGAAGAATCGAGGAAGAACTTGTTGAATGGCAACGATACGTCTGGAATGGATTGGAGCGATCGTGAACATGATCATTTTCGAGTCGGGAATTCGGGCGAAAAGCATCGGAAGCAATCAGAATGGGACGCTGTCCAAGAAGCGTTTTTGGACACTTTTGTTTATTTGCTACGCAATTATCGCAAGTATTTGATATTCCCATCAAAGCACAATGAAGGATCCTATGGTGGAGCTGGATTTAGATCAAAAGAGTTCATTGAGTCACAACGTTTTGACATGCGTGGATTTCTGGAGCAGTTCATTGGTACTCAAATGTTTGATAACTTCATCACAAAGCGCCTTTATGGTAGTGGTGAAGCAGATGTTGCATTTTTTGACATGGCTGTTGATAGATTTTTGAAGAACTCTGGTTTGCTATCTAATGTAGATGTTGGAGGTCGGTTTTTGCAAGCTACAGGGCTAGCGTCGCAGAGCGATAATCTAAGAGGCGGCATGCGGAGCATTGCGACGGGCTTCAATTTCAAGAAAGATGTCGAGCCATTACTCCAAAGTGCAAGAGTACATCGGAAGCTGAAGACAATCGTTCCACCTGAACCTTGCATGGAGGACTTGCCTCCTATAGAGCATATGGAGAACGTAGTAGCGGTATCCGAGCCACAACTACCAGACGATGCCAGCCTAGGGTCAGCAAGCACGTCTTCACGGAGCCAAGCAAATAATGATGCATACAAAAGTGTCCAAGACAAAGCCGCCGAAATTCTTGGCAAACAGAAGTTGAGATATTCTTATGACGTTTTCCCATCTGAATTCAGGGAGGAATTGTTTGCACCACCTCGGCCCCTTCCAGCGGCAGTCATTTCAGAATTCGACCGACAAAAGAAAGATGCAGCCCAATTCCGTCGGAAGAAATCAGTTCTTCAACCCAGCGATAAGAGAAAGCACATACAGCGAGCACACACGACCTTGGACCCTGTAAGTTTGATTGCATAACATTCCCACAACCCTGCAGTAGGTGCTAATACTGATGTCTTTTTGCAAAAAGGAAACACCACCGTCCCCAGAAGTTGGCACATTCACTGTTTTCTTTATGGCGTTCACAGCCATGATTGGAAAAGAACTATTAGAGCTCGATTATGTTTCTGACAAACCAGGAAAAACCATCCTATCTACCTACGTTCCATCAAGCTACAATGAAACTGGTGTCAATTCTGCCACCTCTGATACTGGCACAACCGGCGAAGATGAAGATTCCTTTAGGGATGTCGTTTCCCCAGAGGAACAAGCGGGTGTTGTTGATATGAAATTTTCGAGACCGTCGCTTGGGGCTATGATTGGTGAAGATTCTGAGAAGACTGACGAGTTTGAGAATCCATGTGGTGACGAAACTGTTGACTCTGCACCAAAAGGGCCTGCAGAAGAGAAAAAGACGGAACGGCCAGACTCCTCGACTACTCTAGCTTCACAATTGACACAACCAAGACGACGCTTTCAAGACTCATTGTCTGCGCTCCAAATCGAGGAAGCAAAGGCAACTGGTAGAGCTCAGCTAGGCCTTGCGTTTGAAATGCTAACGATGATGAAAAAGCGCGCGTTAAAGGCGGACCCTGAGGCTTATCAGTGTTTAATTGATGCTTGTGGACGAGTTGGAGACACAAAGCGGGCAACGGACTTGCTGGCAAAAATGCACGAGGATGGAATTGTAGCGGATGGAACTGTTTATGCGTGCCTGGTCTCCGCGTTCTCTGCAGAGACAGCATGGAAAAAGGGAACAAAGGAAGAGGACCTGCCAGGTACAACATTTTTGCCTTTTTTTTGTCTCAACAGAAATCACACCGACTAACTCCAACTTTCCTCTCTCAACTACTTCCCCAGAGTGGGCAAATAGCACTGCGGTAGAAATGGATTGGAATAGGTTGCAAAAGCGAACATTCTTGGATCGCTTGCGAGGTATCAATGATGGCGATCCCGAAGATGAGGTTAATGAACACGATTCTGTTGGAGTCTCTCTCCAGAAGATACGAAATTTCATCTCAAGGAAGCAGGACAAAAAACGAAATGTCCCTAACGTGGAAGAAAGCAGGGTAGAGTTTTTTGTCACTGAAGGAGTTGAGAGGCAAATTGAATTGGGAGAAAACTTGTTGGAGATCGTATTCCCTGACATCTCTGTAGATACGGACAACGAAACTTGTCCTCGTTGCAATTTCCTTCTTTCTGACGACGATGTTGTAGGTGGCTGGACACCTGGAGACAGCAACGACTACACAACGTCATGCCCAAATTGCTCACAGCGATTTGTGCCACACTTTTGCGTGCAAAGTTCTTCGCCATATTTTGTAGGATCACGCGGGCCATCATCACCGTTGATGTGCGAGCGTCTTTCACCGTGGGTATTGCAAAAAGAAATCCGATCAGTCATGAGCGATCGTGAAGGTATCGAAAACTTGTTGAGTCCAGAATGGAGAGATCAGGAATACAAAAATGCTGTTCTTTGGTGGAACTTGGTTCTTTCTTGCATGAGATATCGCTTTCCGTTTTCTTTCTTGCTTCAAGGTAGCTTCGAGCAAAATTTGATTGCCCCCATGCCCGAGGATGATCACTAGCATACAGCTGCCGCATGAGTTGCGAGAATTGTATTATATTAGTATTTTGTTGCCGTCTTCATCCACCTGTAGTTTGTATAGACAACTTTGTAATGCCTAACGGTCTATTCGTATATCGAAAGAAAGTTCAGAATGAATCCTGGATGGATAACAGTTATGGGTAGTTTTGCATTGTTTACAGTCAGGTATTTACGGACAACATAAATTGCTGATTTATACATATGTTTGCAGCTACGGATTCGAACTATTTCAAGCTTCCCCTCAACTTCTACATTGTCAATGCGTCGGAAATGCAAATGTTTTCACCATGTCACGTAAACAAAATCATCAGCAAACCATCGTTATCTTCTACTGTCGATGCTAAATTTCAATCAACCCGAGGATGATCAATACGGTAGCTTATGGTTATGAATATGCTTATATTTTTAGTGAGATTGGAGGATCTACTTGAACAGTAAGACGAACAATTTTATTATATCGGCTGATGAGGTTGTCTCAGCCCTACAGTAGAATTATTTGGGTGAAAGACTGTTAGCTATTGTAGTTGGCAAATTCGTAGTCTTGGGTACATGATTCTCTTCTACCCAACTATTTGTGAGCTTCAAAAGAGGTAAGGAAATCTTCTGAATAACAAAATTCAGAATTTATTGTTTTATTAAAATATCGTAAAGATGCGACAATGCAATAGCAATTCTTGCTGAGTAAAACTTTACAAGACCGGTGCACCAGCACTTGAAATAAGAGTGAAATTTTCGCAGCTACATTTGAAGCTCTACTCCTACACGAATTCAATAGAAAAGAATATCGTCCATCTCAAGATCACCTACGATGGAAATCATAATTTTCAAACCTGAAAGATTTACTTTCATGAGTGTTGGAATTGCTCTCTTGGAGACCATTCATTGGAAACTCCTTGATAGAAGCAGTTCGACACGTCCGATCGGACAGACGGACAAATGTCCGTTTGGTCCGTTTATTCGGGGGATTCCTATGAG